TCTGAACTTGTTCCAGAAAAGATTTAAGGTAACTTAAATCCACTTTCTTTCTTTCTTTTTTTTTTTTTTTGGAACCAGGGATTGAACTCAGACCCTTGCACTTGCCAGGGAAGCGCTTATTCCACTGAGCCATCACCCCAGCCTCTTCAATCCACTTTCTTACAAATGAGTGCAATATGTACAGAAAAGCAGACCCCTAAAATTCAAAGTTCATAATATGTTTCACTTGAAACTTCTGTTTTACAAACATTCAGTAAGTTTTAATGCACCAGGGAATAGTGCCATAAAGATTTCTGTTACAACATAAAAAGGTCTTGTAAAGCATGGCAGAATTTCATCTTTATAACTATTATTTATAAGTATTTCTCAAAAACATTGCTGGGTGTGGTGGTGCATGCCTATAATCCCTACAAGGAGGCTGAGTTAGGAGGATCAGGGTGGGTCTGAGGCCAGTGTTTGCTACATAGTGAGTTAAAGGCCAGCTAGAACTAAAAAGCAAGGCTATCTCGAAAAGAAAAAGAAAAAGATAATCACGTTCACAAGCCTACCAATTTGTGTGCTTTTGGGGGCAGAACTCCAAGAAAACTATTCCTGGCCTATTACCATTTTGAAGCAAACACTTATGGAGCTGAAATTAATAGAATGGAATCAACTCCAACTATTCAGTAATGTGAAATCAGTACTGTGGATATGGAATTATGCAGTTCAGCGCTATCCTAGAGATACATAATCTGAGGCACATATGCAACTTTATATTTTCCGGGTAGCCACATTAAAAAAGTAAAGAGGTGAAATTAATCTTACTGAATTATATTTACTTATACCCAAATTTATATTAACTTTATTTTACTCCATATATTGAAAATATCATTCAACACACAATCAATATAAAAAGTACCAATGAGATGTTCGCATTTTTTTTTCATTCCAAGTCTTAGAAATTTGACACAGCACATCTCAGTGAACTCTGGCCACATTTTGAGTGCTTGGAGGAGGGTGGCTGCCTCATTGGGACAATACCACTGTAGTAATTCCCGCTTTGGCTCAGTATGAGAATCTGATGAATATTGATGTGATGTAGAGTAGAAAAAATATCTGTTCAGAATCTTAAATTATGCCTGTTTCTGGCTCTGACATTTGATATTGATACGACCATGAGCGTGTGATTTCATTTCTAGATCTCAAGTGCCTACCAGAGTCTTCTCTGGGATGGGAGATTAAATAAGATAGTGTATGTGAAAAAAGTGCTCAGTTAAATCATAAAGCACCGTTAGCCTGTGAAGCCTTGCTGCCTCCTGCAGTGTCAGTTTATTTGCATCCATTGCCCAAGGCCACATTCTAAGCTGGAAGGAGAATCTGCAGTAGAATCAGACCTCTAGGCACTTGCTTCAGCTACAGGCTACTTATACTCAGTTTTCTTTTGTATCTGTATATACAAAATAGTTAGGATAGATATACAGCTACTTTCTCTTAATTCAATGAAAAGAAAGATTTGCACAAATAGTGTTTGGACAGGACATCATGTCTGCATCTTGTACGATGAACAACCAGTACAAAGACAACAATATGCAATGTATTAATTATTGAAACTGTCCTACTAATTGGTTTTGAAACTGCCTCATTGTTACTTGTTTCTCAATAAAATTAAAAATAAATTTAAAAAATAAAAGCTGTTTTATTTTTAAAATGGAAGAGCAAGAGGCATGGCAGTAAGAAATAAATTCCACATTGAACAGTTAGGGTGTTTTGGCCACTGTCATAATGTTCTACAGTAAAATCATCCCATTTATAAATTTACATACTCAGACTTACAGCCATCAAAGATTGGGACTTTATTGATGTCATATAATGTAAAACCCCATGGTCTTTAACAACTTTTAAATTGAACTGTGGTTTCCCTACTTTATTTATCTCTAAAATATATTATAGCCACAATAAAGTCCTTCTGTAGTGGGCTGGATTAATAGACCAGTTATGGATCAGTTTAGTAGGTTTTCCATGAATATTTTTGGTTACAGATAAAGCTCACTAATTTCCATGTGCAAGACACTACTTCTCTAGTGTTAATGCAAATGACATAATAGTGTTGGAATAATTCAATTCAATCCATATTATTTAGTACTTACCATGTGTAAGGTACATTACATATTTTAATGTTCAAAAGGAATTTGTTTCGGGGCCGGGGAGATAGCTCAGTAGAATAAGTGCTTGCCTGGAAAATGCAAGGTCCTGAGTTCATTCCCCGGTATCGC